GGGGCGCCTGGCCGGGGCGGGGGGCCTCCGCGCAACCTGCCGTGGTCCCGGGTCCCCTCGGGGTATAAAACCCCCCTCGCCGCCGTGGCTCCCTCATACACACGGTCTCCAGGTTCCCTGTTAGGTTCGTGTAAGCCAGGGCAGAAAACACTGTCGGCTCGCGCATAGGTACCGTTTCCTGACGCCTAAAATCGTCTGTCAGAAGCTACAGGCCGCGGAGGTAAAGGCACGCCGTCACGGGGGAGCCAGCAGCTGGTGGGAATGCGAAGGAACGAGCGGAAGATTTCTCTTTCCACAACACGAAGCCTGGCAAAGAGTAGTTCCCAGTCGGTGTTTTGTGCCTACGGCTCCTACTGCCATAAATGTGAATGCTGACTAAAATGTGGGGAATGCAAGTTTGCAAGAAAGCTCTCGGAATGCAGTCGTTCTCTGGAGATAGCACACGGTCTTGCAGGCGCTGCACTGTCAGGAGTCGCAAGTGCTTCATCGTTACAGATTTGTTGTTGCAGTATATGGACACTTACTGTAGCATATTTTCATGATTTGCAAAGCATGCATTTGATCCTATTCATGTGTGGAATACTGCTGACAATGGTGGTATATTCACATATGGATTATACCCAGTATTTTTAAAAATAATTAATAAACTCTTCTTACAGAGTCACAGCTACAGCTGTGAATACTGTAGGCCATTCATTACTGACTCGTTTTAGTGATCTTACACTTACGGGAACACTAACCTCATTAATTCCCTATAGTATTTATGCTATATAAGCAGAAGCCGTTGACAAGAATAGAATTATTCTTGCAGAAACACAGGTTATGCAGTCAATGGATTAGTAAGAGAAACTTTGTGAAGTATCATTTCCATTGACCTCTGTAGGACTGGGATTTTGTCCTTGATGCTTCATTGTACTGGTAGGGAATAGCTGCCATGCCTGTCGAGCCTTTTGCTGGTTCCCCTACTGAGTTCAATATCAGCATGGTTAGCTCCTTGTCCCCTCTGCTTTTTTTTAAATATATATGTATATAGAATATATGCTACCATTTTTACAAATGGGGCAAAAGAAGGTATCTGATTATAGCTGAATAAGAAAGTACTTGGGACTAAGAGAGTAGACATAATGCTGAGGAGCTGTATAACTGTGTATAATATTTGCTAGGGTCTCTGGAATACCAGAAGCTGCCGTGCTGTAAGTAAGTTTGCCTCAAGGCGCATACTTTCGTCCCAAATACTTGTTCATTCCTTTTCTTAATTTCAGGTGGGATACGCCTTAATTTTATCTTTTTTTCTCTTCTAGTGAGTTTTTTGCTGCCTTGCATTTTATGTACTTGCTTTACATGTGCTGATTCTAGTCTGAAAATCCTGATTACTGAGCATAAGTTACTTGTGGTTAAGAAATACGCTCTCTGTAGTTACTTTTGTGAGTGCAGCATGCAAGAACAGTAAACAGGAGCTCTTTCTGAACGGCCTGCAGCATAGTATAATAGAAAAGCATATAATTGCAATATTTGATTTGTCATGTTATTGTATACCTACGTATATCTGCTCTGAGCAGCGGACTGGATGACTTCCCATGGTCCCTTCCAAACTAAATTATTGTATGTTGCTCTGATACAGGAATGCCTGTGATTCAGCATCCTATATCAGACTGCTTTGTATAAACATCCACTTCTTTGTATATATTACTTTGTGTATTGTATTCTATACACATCCAGTGTAGTTAATTGGCCACAGAGCAAGACAAAAAAAGAGACCTCTTGGTGCAACCTCGGTGCAACCTAAGAGCACTTAGCGTTTCACAGGGCTGAGTTCCCCAGCTTCAGCATGTCCATCGTTATTTCTGCTTTAGCTCCAGACGTACCTGTTAATGACCAAGCTTATTCAAAACTGAGCAACAGTATCACAGTGGAATGGCGAGCTGTACCTGGGGCTACTAGTCACCTGCTGACTGCACAAGATGGAGATTCCTTCATTGCGACTGTAGTTACAAATTCTCCAGGCACAGTGACGGGACTGGAGCCAGCCACCTTGTACAGAATCACTATCGGATCTATAAATTCAGGAGGAAAAAGACAGCCTTCACCTTTCAGAAAAGCAAAAAGAGGTGGACTTTCAAATTCTTATTTCATATTCTTTAATGTTACTATAATATAAAGCATTCATGCAAGCATCCTTTGTTTAAATTTGAACTGAAAGCAAACGGTATAGCCCAGGCACATACCAGTACTGAATTATTATAATCTTGTATTTTGAATTGTATTGATCACATTCTCCTTCCAGTTTTTGAGGACCAGAAATCAGCCATCTGACTTAATGACCAAGACAAGAGTCTGAATTAATGGTTTACTTTATGACAGTACTGTAAGTTAAATGTTTAATAGAAAGTTTTACTGGAATTTGTCTGAATATACGTGTTTCATTTTAACAAAATCAAATTTTATTTTAATAAAAGACGTAACTTGAGTGAATAGAAGAAATGAAGAAACGACCAGAAGTATAAAATAGTAAGGCAATTTAAAACTTAGAGGACAGGAAATGCAGTATCTTCTTGGTGGTTTTCATTCTACACACTCAATCTTTCATACTTTGTGTGTGAGTTACATTCACTTTACAAAACCTGTAATACCATAATGGATGCACCAAACCAGTTTCCATATTTATTCTGTCAATCTTGCATTAATGTATTTTTCCATTTTTGTTGTCACTGAATTTGTCTCTCAGAGTTTGGTGATTGTTGTTTCTGTGTATTCATGTCAAGTTTGGCCCTTTTTAAACAATGTTACTGAAAAACCAAAAGCTTAATTGGCGTTCTTTCTCAGCAGTCCTGGCTGCTCCGGTTCCGTCGGTTAGTTCTCCGAGTTGTGACTCCATTGCAGTGAGCTGGAAAGCTGTGTGTTCAGCAGCTGTGCCCCTCATGAGATCAGATGGTTTGGACAGAATGCTGAAGGAGAACACCACCAGTACCTCCTTGATACTTGCACATCTAGATCCCGGAACTCTCTATACTACCAAGTCACGTGCCTGGAACGTCAATGGGGTACCTGGAGATGATTTCATGTCTAACCAAAGAAGAAGGAAGAAATTTCCTTTTCTGAAACGAAGCATTACAAAAATAAAAAAGATATACCCAGAAGTATTTATGTGTATGTGTGATTGTGTTATGTTTTTCAAAGATATATTGGGTAGATTTTCAGATCGTATGATTTTTACCCCATCTCAAAGATCATGAAAGCTCAGATGACATGCCTATGTTTAATGAATATTGCTGAGGCAAAGATACCATTAACTGCTACTAAAGTTGTGACTGGGACAGGCCTGTGTAAGGATTGCACAAGCTTAGACTGACTTGAGGGATTTTCTAACTGAGAAGCAAATACTCAGATATCTAAGGCAAGGAGTTTCAACGGAAAGCTTTGTGATGGTACACAACTAGAACTATTTATTTTAAAAATTGCCACTTTAATATGAGTGAGGGTAAGGTCTGCACCACAAAAATTGTATTTAGTTTGCAAGTTACGAAAAAGATCATATCTGTGGGCCATACGCTAAGTTGTATTTATGCGTTCCAGATTGATGCCAGAGGTCCCAATGCACCGGTGGATGTTGAAGTAGCTGTTAACAGTGGTGCTTTAAGAGCTATTGTTTCTTGGATACCAACAGGAGGAGCCCTAACTTACAGTGTGATAGCCTCCAGCGAACTCTTGAAACTGAAGTGTAACACATCTTCTGCCTCCTGCACTGAGCCATCACTCCAGGCCAGCTCTGAATATTACGTTTCTGCCACAGCATACAGGGATGCTGGATCCAGTAAACCTGCAGATGCAGTAAGCTTAAAAACTGGTATGTGTCATTGATCCTCATAAAGCTTATGGCATTTTAGCATATATTTCTTTAATCTCCAATGTAAATTAATCCATTGCAATCAACAAGTGGTTTTTAAATCATTACTTCTGCTTCTGAACTTTGTGCATGAACTGTGCCATACACCTTTCAGGGATAGTAGCCTAAACTTTCTTCATATTTCTGTGAGAAAAACTTGCGGTGGTCTATAGAGCGTTGGCTGAACCACTAAGCCTGTGTTTTCTTCTTACCAGAAGTACCTGTTCTAAAGTCAGTTTTCTGTCCTACTGTGTCAGATGTTAAATTTTAAAAAAAAAAAAAAAGTTTCTTCCTTTACAGTTTTGAAAGATGACTCCTGAGGGTAAACATCATGTCCTCTTCACACCAGCTGACTTGTTTTGCTTTGTGGCTGATGAAGAACGGACAGTTATTACTAAAACTTTAATTTCGCATTTTTTCAGAGAAGGCAGAGCCTTTTCTCATTCTCCACAGCGGTTACTTCTTCAGCCAACAGAGGAAGCAAAGTTCAAGTTCGAGGGTTCTACATACACATAAAAAGTAAAACAATTAAACAAAGATACCTACAAAAACAGTCCTCAGAAGGTTATGTATAAAGGCTATCAAAGTCATCAGGGTTTTTAACGCTATTTTCAGCTCAGACACCATGCATTCTGAAAGTTTCCTTTCCTCACACAACAATTTCACCAGGTACCTCAGTCACTGCTTCTGATCACTTGCACAAAATCATCTCATGGGCATCTCACCATTCAATAAATCCATTGTAGATGGCCCAAGAACTACGTGTTGCTTCTTAGAACACGATCAGCGTTTTTTCACTGTCAAACAAGTCTTTCTTTAGGAAAGATTATTTAAAACTGCCCTGCATTACTTATTAAAAAGTTCATTTTATTTCTCATTCAACTTTAAAAAAATATTTGAGAATGTAAAAACAAGTGTTGTTCACAACTTTCTTCCTCCGGGGTTTTATTTAAATATTTTCTCTTTGCAGTCACCATCGCCAAACGCTGTTACCAAAGCCTCAGTGTTCAACCAGGTGGCATTAACTGGATTTTCAGAGGTCTAAAGCAATCAGTTTCTTTTGGAGTAAAATTCAAGCTGCAGCTTTCTTCTTTTTGTACAAACAGTTCTGACACTTCCATGCTTTAACAGTAGCTCTAATGTATTTTAAGCAATTATGAACTGTTGGTGTATTTTTTCTCCATTCTTCCTGGCATACAGACATTGACATCTCAAAATTAGACGCTACAACGTTGACAATGCTGTAGTACTATTTTCATCAGCTCCTCTCATTTTCCATCATGAAAATGAGAAGTAATTGTAACAGATTATTTGCATGTCTGTTAAAAAAAAGAATCTGATTCCAAGAAAAAAAAAAAATCCCACATTGATTCAGCTCAAAAAAAGTAGTCAGAAGATGTAGACAATTTACCCAAACAGGAGGAAGAGGGACACAACCAAGCTGAGCCAGATCCATACCCTCCTACTGTAGCTGTGCATTGTTGTGCAGGCATTAGACATTATCTAATAACAATTAACACTGCTGATAGGTGAAACATTGCTGGCACTCACTGAGGTGATTAACAAACTTCAGTCGGGATTGGTTTCAGGTTCTCCCCAGACTGAGGCAAATGCTTTTTTATGATCATGCTGACTTGTTTTAAGATCACCAGGAAAGACAATTAGATGTAGTGTTTTCATAGATGGTTTCTATGAAGCTCTGGACTTCATGAAGCAAAACAAGCAAGCAACCAAAAAACCCCCAAGTAAAACCCAAAATAACCGCAACAACAAAAAACCCCAAGCAACCCAACCCCAAAAACCTTAAAAGAGAAACACCTTGAGAATCCACAAAATTCCTGTTGAAGACCTGGAGGTAGGCAGCACGCTGGTACGCTCAGTAAAACGAATGCTTTCAGTATCTGTGAAATGAGTTATACTAACGAATTAGGTGATTAAAACCACCTGGTTACTTCATGGTATATGCCTTCATTAATCCTTACTTAATAAAAACTCCAATTGAATTATTTTAAAGATGTATTAGTTGAAATTACATGAAGATGAAAACTTGCAAAAAAAATTTGTCTGTATTGTTCCAAATAAAAGTTCTGTGTAATTGTATTTGACAGAGCAGTAATAGCTCAAAACTTAAATAGGTTGGGTTTGGTCCTGTAAAGAAACTGGCAAAAATCTATCCTTCGGTTGGTTTCAGATTTGACCCCGAATTGCTGAGATTCAAGAAGTGTTCTCCCACATCCAACTATTGTTGGGAAAGAGGGGAAGGAAGGAAGAAAAAGGAGAGAGACATGACCACTCCATTGCAAAATCTCAAGAGTGGCGTTTAAACACTGTTTTACCCTGCTTAACAGCTGGTGGACGTCTCCTGTACGTAAAGTCCTGTGCGCTTCGTCGCAGAGCAGAGAGGGCTCAGACATCTACCAAAGCCAGCAGAAACCATCTCACTCTTTCAGGTTCCCCTTAAGAGATCCTGGCTGTTTGCTTACTGGCTTTGAGTCACTGCGTCATACTCAGCTGTAAATATGCGACCCATGAGCTCATTCATGTTTCTTCAACATATGAACAGAAATATAGGCACCATGGGTACGCATGGTGGTGTACCAAGTACCCCCACTGCAATCAGACACGTTGCCCTGCCATTCAAGTTACCCTTTTCAACACAGACAGACAATCCAAATACCACTCCTGTTATGTTTTAAAGTCAGATACGTACAAGTCCGTTTGTACTGACACCAATTACCTGCATAGCTAGGTGGCAGCAGGTCGATGTGAACCTCTGGGGCCAAAGCCTTGACCCTGCCTTGCAATAAAAGACTGCCTCTCTTGCTACTTCTTAAGATCTGAAATCTTGTTCAACTAATTGAGTATCTTCAAAAGAAAAAAAATAGAAACGAAATAGATGCGTAGTTCTCAAGTTGGTATAATCAGTTCAGGCAAGTACTTCTCAGTGGAGCAATGGGGTATTTCAAGGACAGCTTAGGCTCCAAGAGGAATGACTATCCCAGCTGGGCAAGTATGGACACATGGCACACTGACTGCACAGGGTCCGTCAGCCAGCTCTGCAGTCGCACCTCCTGGGAAAACTCACAACCTCCAATTGACATTGGCAGAAATTTTCTTCTAATGACCCTGAGCCAAATGCCCGCTGCAGCTGCACTCCTTGCAACTGCATCAGAGCAGTCGGCGCCGGAGACTCCACTCATCGTACACTTCCTGATCAGAGCTGCTTCGTAGAAGTTCCATGGAGCTGTTCCTTCTGGTTTCAAGGAAGGTTATATGAAATAAAATGGCATCAGAAGGACAAAAAGGAATTAAAGAGTCCCTGGATCCAAACCCAAGACCTGCAAGATACTAAATCCCAATGATAACTTAAGATCCGTGTCTCGGTTTAAATTGGTTTCATGGGTTTTGGTCAGTCGTAAGCATTGTGCTGTTACACCGCTAGCTAAAGTACGTAACAGGGATCTAATTAAACCCCAAAGTCAAAAAGGGCTATTTATTGAAAAATAAAGCAAAGTCCTCAAATTACTGCACTCGTAAGAGGTACTGGCATGAACCCGTTTGCAGAAGCTGCATCAAAACGTTCACTATCTCCATTGTAAGTAGGCAGCTCTCTCCACCTTAAGGTCAAAGACTGTTTCTCAAATATCTGGATTTTGCCTGCAAATAACCCATGCTTTCACTGCATTTCCTGGCTGCGGCAGTGGAGGAGGAACGCTAAAGGAACAACTGAAGCTCAGTAATCCATTTCCCTGGCAGAACACCGGCCTTGCAGCCTCTCTGCCCAAGAACATTCTTGTTTCAGAAACTCATAGGCTGAAGGTTAACAGACCAAAAGCAGCCTTCTGGTGGCACAGAAGGTGAATTAAAGCGGTCCTTGCTGTTCAGACAGAATACATGCAGTCTCCTGGCAGGCTGCAAAGGCAGCTCTAGTCATCTGCTAGCTGGAGGGTTATTTCTTACATGGCCAGTACAGTTCTCCTCCTCCCATATTAAATGAGAGCTCAGTATTTCAGTTTTACACTGCCATGGAAAGAACTTTTTGAAGCTTAAGCTTTGTTTCAAGCTGAGATTTAAAATCAGGTAACAAAAACATAAGCAGACAATACCTGCAACCTCAGTATTCAAAGATTTCTAACACTAAGGGTCACAGTGACAAAGGGAAGATTAACAATTCAGAAAACAATAAATAAGGAGCAGGGAGGAAGAAAAAAAAATTGTTATTTCTTCTGCTTTCAGTAGTACGGAATGAAGTGTATTGTTCAAAATCCAAGCAGTGTATTTTCTCCTGGAGGTTTAAAAGAAAAAAAATCCTAGTATTTGCATATCATACCTAGCTGACCTGCAGCACACAAGCAGAAAAGGCACAAAGAGCAATTTATTTCTACCTTCAGGTCACTTCATGGCCATCAATGAGTCACACTTAACGTTCTTCCTATTTCAGGGCTGCTCCATTTCTTTGTTAGCTGCATCCTCCTTGTAAGGCCCACAGAATCCCTTACTCATGCAAAGTGTCACTTAGTCTGGAAATGAAACGTGGAGGAACCCAAGCACTCTTTGACATGCAGGGAAAAGCTGACACCCAGTACAAAGGAATTAATTGAGAGTTTATTCCAGACGGTTCTCCTCACTTTGTATACAAGTCATCAGAATAATCTATCAAATAGTCTTGGACTTTAATCATACGATTTTTTTTTTTTTCCTGTAATGCATTTTGGTTTTTGCTTCTAACAACCTGTTTAAAAAAAAAATTGCCAGATGAAATGTTCAGCACAAACTGCAATCCTTACTATTTGTAGAAAATATGACTTAAAAAAGGACACTATCAGGTAATTCTTATTTTAAATGTTTACACTTATAAAAATGCTTTGGAAGCTTGAAACTGAAATCCTTTGTAATAGTTTTCTTCTTCCTACCTCCCTCTTCCCATCTTAAATGCCTTTATTAGCCCAGGATTATCATAAATGACAGTGCAGCTGCCGATTAAAAACATTAGAAGACCACAAATGGATAAATGGTGGTTTTAAAACAAAAAAAAATGGAAGCTTACATGGATTTTTTTTTCCCAAACAAGTAAAATGCACAGATGGCTACAGAACTCCTCCATCAACCTTACAGTGTCTGCCTGAGGTAGCCGTTCTTCAGAATTACAAAACAAGCCCTAACATAATCTAAGTCTTTGCACCAAAACCACCACCTCCTTGCAAGTCCACTCGCAATTTAACACCAGTGGTGATCAACAACGTAATACATTTTAAAAGCTTTTGAAAAAACAGCAGGTGCAGTGGACGTAAGTGTTAGTTCTAAACCTGCAGCCCTCCATGGACATTGTATGCACATAAATATCTCCGCTATAATACACATTCAAGATCCATCCCTAAGCGCCACACTATTATGTAAAGCACAGACATGCTAACTTCAGGATACAAACCATAATTCCACGTCTGCAAAACGAAAGTAGAATTAGTGGCAGTTTATTGCCTCATACAAATTTAACCAACATGGCAACCATGCCAAAGGAATTAAAACATTTTCAGGACATATGTACAGACTGTACATTTCAGAAACATCCGAACAATAAAAATGCAAGGACAATCTCTGCATTACGAATTAAACTAAACAAATGGTTTGAAACCGTCAATGCATTGGATGGGTTTACAAAGGCACTTCCCTACCCAAAATAGGAAATGACAATCTGCAGCCTAGAGGGAGGTTGGAGAAGAGTGCTCATCAACTACTGCACAATCTCAACTTTAAGAAAAAATAAGCAGGATTTAATCAAACATTTATAGGATTCAATGTGATCCACTTCTGAAAGAGTTCACACAGTCTCATCTTTGTTTTTATGTTGCTTTTCTTGGCTCTCTCGTTCCGTACTTTGGCTCCTTCGACGATCGTGTTTGTCTGAATGGTCCTTGCTGTCACTGTGATCGTGTTTGTGGGAACGTTCTTTGCTTCTGCTACGCTTTCTAGATTTTTCTTTGCTGGGACTCTGGTCTCGTTTTCTGGACTTCTCAACGCTGTCTGTTCTTCCTCTGCTTCTGCTTCTACTTCGTTTATTTGACTTCTCTTTACTTTCATTTTTATGTTTACTTGATTTCTCTTTGCTCCTGCTTCTACTGCGCTTACCTGTATTCTTACTTCGGCTCCTACTCCTATGCTTTCTTTCCCGGCTTCGACTTCTACTATGCTTTCTCTCCTTTTTGGAATCCCTTTTGTCATCCCGGTGTTTCTTGTCATCCTTGTCATCCTTGTGTCTTCTCTCTTCTATATCACCCTTACTTTTCCTTTCTTTTGATCTTTCTCTAGATCGATCTTTTTCCCTCTCACTACCTCTTTCCTTATCATAATCTCTCTCTTTTTTCCGGCTCCGTTCATTTTCTTTCTCTCGCTCCCTATCCCTGTCTCTTCTATCTCCTTTCCTGTCACGGCTTCGACTACGGCTTCTGTATCTGTCCCTGCTTCTGCTTCGCCTCCGTTCTAGTGTGCGATCAGAACTTCGAGACCTCCGCCTTTCTTTTTCTCTCTCCTTAGCTTCACGTTCTAATCTCTGCCGTTCTCGTTCCCTTTCTAGTTCTCTGTCAAAACTAGATGATCCATGGCCTTCCCGATGATGACTTCTGCTTCTGGATCTTCTGGGAGACCTCCTGGGACTGATGGATCGTCTTGGAGACCTTTTAAAATAAAAGACATTCAATATGAAACAACCTTTTTAAGTTACTTTCCAATTTATACTTCACGGACACAGTCTATATTTAATCTTAAATACCAAATGTCATCCAACTATTTTGACCAATTGGCATCCATGAACTGTTTTGCCTGTTGCCTTAAAACTTCTCTCGGTGAAGCGCAAACATGTTGAACTTTTAACATTTATTTTCAAAATAACGTGTATATGACCTTGAACGTCTACGTTCTGCATGCCGGTCTATTTCTTCCATTCCCTCCTTGCCATCTTTCTTGATTTTTCTAGGTCTGCTTTTAATTTGCTGGTCAATGGTTTTCTGGACTGGCACAGGAATTCTTGGAAACAATGTGGAAAACCATTCAAGCTTAGTGAGGAAGGAACGAAGCATCTCCCCGATGGTCATAACACAACCCCCACCTGCCTTCACATCCAGGTCCTACAAAATACAAGCAAAAAATATCCTGATGGTCAAAAATACTCTTCATGATTTAAAAAAAAAAATGCTGCTACATTACTGCCCTCTTGAAGTCTCATGATTATGAAAGTTTACTTGTCTCATATTCTAATACATTTCCAAACTCTGCACCCTTTGGATTTGGCAGTATGTTACAGACAGGGAATGGGACTTAATATATATGCATGCAGGCACATACTAATCCTGCAACCATCTGGATGGTAAGGGACTGTCGATGAAGAGATTAACACAAAATCCCCTTACGCAGCCTGGCTATGTGGTATGATCTCGTACTTTTTTTAAATGCCACAAAGTTGAGAAGTCCTCTCAAACTACATTTAATACTCCATTTTGTGGATGTACAACTGTGTACCATCATACCCAACCCTGTGGCCTAAATCATTTAAGAACTACATCATTGCCTATCTAAAAATGAGCATAGAAAAACCTCTAGTACAAAATGGCATCCTAACAGAATTGGAAGCAATAGCAAACCAACTGCCATGAAGCAGTGAGGTTTCTAATTTAGAAATATGTAAAAAAATAAATAAATGAACAAATAATTGGAAACGCATAATCCATGATGACCATTGTCTCTGAAAAGGGTCATTACCGCATGAAGGCCTTCTTGCTATGCCCTCTCACAGCTCAGGACATGTTAGTCAGCTATTGTCAGTCCCAAACCTATAGTGCAAGCACACAAGGAAAGTGAGATTTGTTACCTAAACAGGAAGAGAAAATCTAAATGTAAAACTGCTTGCACTCACACACATTTAAGTGTTCAGATATACAGTTTTTCCAAATATAATCGCTGCAGAGATCTAAAGAAGGAAAAAAAGGAGTTAAACGTAGCACCTGGAGAGTACGTACAGTTAAACAAAATAAACATAAAGCAGCATTTTGAAAGTAACTCTGTATCCTGGGAAGTTTTTCACAGCAGCAGGACAAAAGATGAACTGCTTCCACAAATTTAAGAACTGGAGGAAAAAAAAAAATCCTGTAGGTTTAAATAATTCCATATATATATATAAATTTGCGTCATCCTATTGAGCTTGACCAGGACTGGCAAGACACTTAAGACAAGCAGCCCCAAGCACTTTTTCCTACGTAACACGAAGGTACTAAAAGCAGCTGGGAAAGAAATACTAACTCCAAAAATATACCGGGAGATTTTAAACAACAATAAACAAACACATGCTGGTACCCAATATCTGCAAGAACCAAAATGTATAAACTAAAAAAGGTGCTTTGAATAATGAAGCAGTTAAGACCTGCGCAAGCGCACTTGTGATCGCTTTGTTGTCCTGGGAATCAAGTTGTTTGTTTGTGGGACCCTGAAAATTAAGCCACCCCAATCCTCCTCCTAAGTTACAATGCAACGCTGCAGAGGAGAGTTCATGTTATCTAGTACTACCTGGAGCAGAAGGAGGGTATCACAGCGATGCAATCAAGATTTAAATTTGATCTTTGTTTCAAACGTACAGTAACACAGGTTTACCTGAAATAACAGCTGTTTCCTTTGCACAGTGTTTTTGATACTTAGCATGAAAGAAGCTGTTTAAAATAAATACACTGCATTGCAGTCAGACACAGGTATAATTTACACTATTTTTAACACAAGTATTTGGACATCATTTGCAACCACAATATTTGAAATTTCTGGAAGTAGATGCCTACTGTCACACTGAAGAGGGCAAGTGATCCTTCCTGTTCCATTCTCAAATCTAGGATGTAATTTAAAACCTGCTCAATAAATACAAATTGCAACAGCATGTAGCAGACCGCATATTCAACTCCACAGACCGAGAAGCCTCACCCACCAGCTCCCTCCGTTTCTCCAGACAGCAAACCAGGACTACGGTACCAAAGGTATTCTCCTCCCTGACTGCACAGTAGCGCAGCCTCCTTACTGAACTTCTTCAGTTAGCAACTCCTGTTTCTTGTTTTTTAATGTTTCCTGGTTTTGCCCCCTTAGCAAAGACATCAAGGTTACTAGAAACAATGCCACCTTATGCAGTGATTAGGCTGGTTTTCTCTCCTCTGAAGAAATCCTGGGTTTAGTTATTCCAGGACATGAATAATAGCCACAGAGATTTTTGGTAACAGTTTTGAAGGTGAAT